GGGAGCAAAGGTAAGTGAACTTTAATTGAAATATGAGGCCTTATATAATCACTGGCCTGTCATTGATCACCTTAAACGAAATATCATAATTACCTTTCTCATACAAGACCATCTGGTAGTCCCGAAAACCTGCTTATAGATGATAAATATATTTGCTTAATCAACAACTCCACTGTAATGTAGTGGAATGGTAACGTCGCCACGGTACTAAAGTCCAGGTATCAAATTGAGCTAAGGATGCGAAGTTGAAACTGTAGTCCACCCTGTATTAGATCAGGTTTTGGGAGACAAGGCTAAGTGAAATTAAATGCAATTATGAGGTCTTTTTATCTCATTGTGGGAAAAGCGTAACTTTCAGTCCTTCATCACCTTAGACGAAATATAGTGAATAATGCTCTTATACCAACCCTTAAATCACCTTAAGCGACCCAGGGTGACTAAATTCTTAGTTTAGAATTTTTGATAGTCTCGAAAGCTGCTCACACCAAATTACTACGAATAATCTTGTTTAGAATATTCTCTTTTTTTATAGCATCCTTCACATTCTGCTAGAGGGGTTTGCATCTTTTATTTAAATAGCTTTAGATTAAATCTTCTTTTACAAGTTCATTTTGAAATAGGTTGTAAAACTTTTCATCATACCCACATCCCTTCCCGTTATTAAATGTTGGTGAAATATTAGCACAGTCATAACTGCTATCATTCTAATTTTTTGCGAAGCAAGGATGAGTGAAATACGTCGGTAAGAAAGCCCTAGCAGCCAAAATCTCAGTCATTGCTTCGCCAAAACGTTCTGTTGCAATTGCTTATAGATAATGTTAAACTTTACAATTCTATGCTAAATTGGCATACTGATTAGTGCAAAAATTAATCAATGCAAAAAAAAATTATATTTAAATTTAGCAAGCCTTTGACTCCTTAGGCTTGACACAAACCAATTAAGATATTGATGAATTATTTCGTAATTCGTGATCATTATTGCTTACATTTATTTTTTACTGGTGCTTTTACCAGAATATTGCCACTGAATTGTTTAAAGGTATGAAGACCAAGATGGTGTTGTCACTGTCTCCTTTCGTTGTATATAAGTTGTTTAACGACGGTTCGCAACTTGGTCATATTGACAGGAAGACTTAGAGGAACGCGCTTAGTCCGGAGTCCATAGTATGCATGATAATTTTCAATTGTGGCTCTACATTGAACCTAATAAAAGTTAGAAGTATCACAACACTTGTGGTTTGGCACGCAAGAGTAGGGCATAGAAGGTCATAGACTCGGTATTAGAGATAGAAACAGAGTAGACGCGGCGGAGACTAGAGCTAGTTGGCTGACAGTAGGACCGTTTTACCATGAACGCGGTCCATGTAGCAAAGGCTTGATCATAAGAATTACATAGTCTCTGTAGCTTCATGCTAGTCTCTCAGACGCAGATTGTAGAAAATAACGCCTCGAGTACCACAGATGGGGTGGCAGGGGTCGAGTGAAATACTTGAACCAGGGAGATAGCAGACGGATCCTACGGGGCAAGAGGGAGACTCTATTAAGACCTATGGAAGGAAGACGGCGTAACAATAGGGCAGACTCTGATCAATATTCTCAGCACTGGGGTGAGGAGGGTGAGGGGCTGAGAACGCCAGCGTGGAGTATGGAGAGTTCCCATAACATCTGCTCAGAAGGGCACACCATAGCATATTTAAATAAGCAGGTAAAATATTGCAATAGTGAAGGCGTGATACGAGGATATAGGATTGGTGATTAGTCTGGGGATTAAGGAGAGATACCACGATTTTTTAGCAGAAAATTGGTCAAATGATCGACTTTACTTGTCCATTTGACGGGTTGTGGTCTGGTACCAAGACTGGCAATACTCACCGATCATGCCGACTACGATGCTGGCGAAAAGTCTGATTATGTATCACGTCCAAGGTCTAACTCTGTAAATTATTATGCATACTATGGACTCCGGACTAGGTGCGTTCCTATAAGTCTTCTTACCAGTATGACTAAGTTGCGAAAACAAGATCAAACAACTTCTAACGAATTATTCAGTTTATAATTTTACACTCATTTCAGTATTAATTTTTGTTACAAAATCAGACTATGGTGTTTGATAGAAGTTTTCGGCATATACTGGTTATACCTTTCAGGGGAGTATTAGGAACCTTTTGTTCTATTTGTGCTTACTTTAGGTCAGGGAATTTACTATGGCCACTTAAAGACTGACCATCTTCTGTGGCCGGCAAGCTCTCCAAGTGAATCACTTTCGGGAGCCGGACTGCGTAGCTGTCGATGTACACGAAACGCCAAGCTGCTCGCCTATCCATTGGTACCTAATGTGGAGCGGCCTGGTCTGCCTCTTGGCATCGGAATGACACAATTCCACGTCCTCGTAGCATATCGTGACCGGGTAAAGGCAATCAATCTTCTTGACGGCAAGACAGTTTTTTCGGCCCTATTGACTGCGGGCCAGGCCCCAATAACACCGGCATCAGCGACGGGGTCTGAGTCTGCGGCCTCAGTTGCTGGTCAGTTGTCCATGCTTAACCTTCTCGACGGATCGTGTCTTGGAGTCTGTCAGGTGGGTGCCCAGTCATGCTCATCTTTATTCTATTCGCATGATTGAACGATTTTATATTATTGGATGGTCTATATCATTTCAGAGACAACTTGTAACTCTCATTCATTGCACCTTGGTTCACATTTTAAACACATGTTCAACATTGGTGACTCCGTTTTACAACTTATCTAAATTCTTAATGAATATATTTAATTCATGTCTACGACCAGAGCATTCTAAGCTGCTCCTACCTCGGCATAGTAATATTTTCAAAATTTCGCCACCCTAATGAGTATTAGTTGTAGGACGGGAACAATTATTTGAATATTGAACAACTTTCGGTGTTTAAGCATCGTTGTATATGTTTCTTTTTTTAAT